GCTTTAAAACCCGGCAAAATAGCGGAAAGGATAAAAGACGGATTTTGTGAGAAAGAATGAGATAAAGCTAGTTCTTAGACGTGGCTATTTGACTTCAGTCATAATTATACGGATGACCGCGAAAATGTTTTAGTTTAATAATTTCTTATGTAAGAATAAATGATTGAATAAATTAAGAATTAAAGTAAAAAACATTAATTAGTAGCGATTTTGAATTATAAATCTTTAAGTTTATTTAATAATAAAAATAACTCAACTGAAATATTTGACTAAACTAAAGATAGGTATGTTCTGTCCGAAAACAGTTATTGTATGTGGAGTCTATGTAATACTTAGACACGTGGTCTATTGACAAGAAGATTGGGGTTCACTTCACACCAAGGATAAAATTTTTGTTTTACTCAATCAAAAAATAATAGAAAATATGATACATATTAATTATAACTTATTCTTATTCCAATGTTATAAAACGGAAATACAAAATAATTCAAAATCAAAAAGATATTTATGTTTAACTTTAAACACTTCTAATACTAGTAACGACTGACATAAATGTTTAGTGATTCAAATCAAAACGATCTCTGCATATTGTCAGATTATTAAAAAAAAAAAAAGAAAACCACATGTGGTTTTGAACTCTAATCGTCTGCGTCGCAGTGTCGAATACTTACCACTAATCCACGAAGGACTTATGTTTATTTCCGTGACAAGAGTGTATGAAACTCCTCAAATCATAGTGGAAATTATTCTGGGTTAATAATTTAAAACTTTAGATTAAATAATCACTATTAATTAATTTATTTTATTCACATTTTTGCTTTATTGTGGTCAATCATTTTTTACTTTATGCGAAATTAAAAAATGTCACTGAAATACGTCACACATACGATGTCACACATACGATGTCACACATACGATGTCACACATACGATGTCACACATAATAATTATGACCGAGATGATTTACCTCGAAGCTAACGTCTAAAGGTGTGAGACTATCGATAGTGTTAATGCAATGTAATGTAAATTATAGGTTTCTATCGATTATTTCCCACCTCTATGAGTTTCATCTCTTTTTATTTCACAAAATAACTGTGTTTTCTATCTCTTACGTTCAAAAGCTGGGTGGTAAAGCACTCACCACTGTATATTATTAAGTGAATTTCATTATACCGCACCATCAGTACCATATGAACTGTAGGAAAATTTTAATAAATTAAGGTAATACTTGTTATATTAAAAAAACGAATTTCTAAAATGTAGCCATTTCACACAAGATATTTTGACCGGAAAAATTGTATTGCAACCAATAATATTTCCAAGAGGTAGATTAATTACATAATTACGTATTGAAAATCTGCGAATTCTTAACCACCGTGCAACATTATTTCAGCCTAAACATAGATACTAAGAAGGGTGGGTATTATTTGCAAGGTGCTACAGAATTTAACGGTTTTCGGGTGACTTTGGCCCAGTTTGTTGATTGTCGGATTTTGGTCATTCATTGGTTCTATATTAAATTAAAGAATGTAAATGCTGATTTTAATTTTGAATTTAGCGTTGTAACAACTGCAGAGTTTATTAACTTTATAGCATTAACGACATAGGTAACCTTTTTTCTCTTTTAGATGCCCTCCAATAACAAACGTGTTGCTGGTAGTAGAAATTATGGAAATTACACGGCAGACACAGTCGAAAGAGCTCTAGAAGCTATCAGAAATGGAGTTCTATCTCTGAGAAAAGCTGCAATATAATTTGAAGTGCCAGACGGTGGTCAGACAATTTTTATAAAAGCTGAAGAGGACGCTATCACGTCTCATATTTGTAGCTTATCTTTATACGGATTTCCATTGGATTTAAGTTTAGTGAAAAATTATTTAGATCGTGATGGTCGAATCATTTAGCAATTTAGCAATTTAAAAATCAATGCAAGCAATATCAAACGATCGAGAGCAGAAATTAGTATAAGAGACTAACAAATTGCAGAATGAACTCGTCGATGTTCCAGTTAACAACATTTGAAACTACGATGAAACAAATTTAAGTGAGGACCCCGGCAAAAAGAAAATTTTAACAAAAAGTGTGACTAAATATCCTGAAAGAATGATGAATTTTAGAAAATCGGCAACATCAATAATGTTTTGTGGAAATGCGGCTGGAGAAATGCTACCTCCATACGTCGTATATAAATGCAATAAACTGTGGTCAACTTGGTTAGAAAATGGCCCAAATGGGGCACGGTACAACAGATCGAAAAGCGACTGGTTCGACACAGCTTGTTTCGAAGACTGGTTCACTTCTCTTTTATTGTCAACATTGAAACAAAATTTCTGGTATTAAAGTGTTAATCGGTGACAATTAATCGTCCTATATATCATTAAAAGTTTTACAGCTTTGTGAAGCAGAAAACATTAAATTCCTGTGTCTTCCTGCCTATTCTACGCACCCAACACAGCCAGTAAATGTCGCCTACTTTCGACCGATGAAATAGCGTGGCGAAATATTTTGGTAGAATACAAAACACTGAATGTTAACAAAAAATTAATCGCAAAAAGTACCTTTCCCAACCTCTTGAAAAAACTGGTTGAAATAATTAGTGTAAATGGCGGAAAAAATATGGTAAGTAGCTTTAGAAAATGTGGCATTTTCCTTAAAACGCAGAGGAAGTACTAACCAGAATTCCAAACTATAAAACTGATGCTGCGCAAGTACCTTCGGGAGTAAGTGACGCTGTTTAAATTTTTTTGCAGAAAAAAAGGGATTACAGTCCACAGCTGATGGAGTTGTTAAAAAAAAAAAAGAGAAATAGAAATTGCAGCAGGAACAAGTATCAGTGCAAGTTAGGAAATTATGTTTTTTGTGAACTTAGGGTCCTATGTAAAGTTTCAGGTTAGTTTTAGTTTTTTTTGTTTGAAATTTAAATAAATATTTTTTATCGGCGACTACGAACTGCCCCACGCTACCTACGTACTCAGATAATATTTTTGTGAACATAATATAGTTTTTATTTTACTTTCTTGTATTCCAAAAGGAACCCAATTCCCAAAGCATGGGCGAAAATTTTAAATGATTAAATAATGACACTATAACAATAGAAGTAATCGAATAAAGTTTATTTATAAATCTATAAATCTACATTAACTTATATACAATAACAAAAACTACAGTTAAACAATAACAATGCTTAATTCTAATGTCAGATTAGTGATTCAAATAAGTAAGAGTGAACACTTTATTTTAAATTTTAAAAGTTAGCTGCATAATAATTGCAAACTGACTTAATGAAGCCAATTTAGTAATGTTTTGATTAACGTAATATTCATTTAGCCTATTTTCAATAAAATCAACTTTTCTTTTTGCCGTTTTATCAAGTTTTTTTTCGAATTTATGTGCAGTTCTAATTATCACATATACTTCTGCTTGAAAATTTAACAAAATGTGTGTAAATTTATTAAATATGTCAGGATGTGATTTATAAAAACATTCGTTAAATTTCGTTCGTTAATAAAATTTCGTTAATATTAAAAAGTTCATCAGAAAAAAGTCACCAACATCATTTGGATGTAAATAAGGAATGCCAAAAAAACAATTTTAAATATTTTCCAATAACAGTTTGATTTTTATATTCCAAGGACAAACCTAAATTTTGAATTTTTCGGTACCAATTTTGTGTTAAATGAAATTTGCAACAAAAAATAATAATGTCGAGTCACACTAACTTGGCTGCATTTTGAATTGCTATTTCAAAATCAGAAATTATTCGCTTCGGTTTGAAATTTAAATTCAAATCTGTACATATTGTTATTAATGTATCAAAAGTACTTTTGTACGATTGCTGTGATTTATTTGGTAACAAACAAAATACTAGAGGAACATAAAAACCATTTTTGTAGCCATGTATAGTAAACATCTGACAAAAATATTTAGAACAGTATTGAAAAGTTCCATCTACATACAAAGAATCTACATTACACAAAAAGTAAAGATTTGTGAAACAACTAAAAATTGCAGAATTATTTTTCGTAGATAATAAAAAGTTTTCACCTGTATTTGTTTTTAAATTTAAGTTCACTAACACTTGTAGAACTTCCTCCTGTGACTTGGGCAATGAGGTTGTGAATTTTCGTCTTGTAGCATAGATATTTCTTCGAACGCAAGAAATGTCTTTCGTCGTCAGCGGTAAATTGCTGAATTTTTCTTTTCTCAATTCCTTGTGGACAATCTTAAAGGTTTTTCACATATATCTTCTCCGATGCTTTTTCAAGAATAACATAATTTTCATCACCTTCCTTTGTGTACACTTTTTGTTGACAGCCTTTTTTGATGCATCGCCATCTAACTTTTCCATCTTTGGAGACATGGGCTTTTGAATATTTATATTCATTAATTATTAATAACAGTTCTCCCCTTTGACTAAACATAATCGTTGGATTTGCCATTTAAATGTTAAACACAAAACTATACCGTAATACTTGCAACTGAAGTGAATAACTGAAAATATTTATATTCTTATTTTCAACTATGATCAAATTTGGAATTTCCGGTCATTAAGACTTAATCCCCAACTTTCTCGGCGATGGGGCAGTAGGTACTTCGGATTAAAGGCCCCAGGTAGTTCGTGGGGCAGTTCGTAGTCGTCCATTTTTTATACCTAACAAAATGTTTGTTTCTGATTCATCTTGTAAGGTGATTTAAGTACAAACAATAATAATCTCAGAGAATAAATGTAAAGTGTAGCTTGAGACAAAGTCACCCAACACTAGCAGGTGACTTTGCACACCTTCATCTTATTTTTTTTTATAATAAAGTAAGCGCTTCTTTGTGTTTTGATGTAATTTTTATAAAAATTTAGTAAAAAACTTAAATACAAATAAATAAAGAAACATACTTTTATATATTCAGAATACTGAAACCTACATTTAAACTTCGAAAGTGAGCTTAAGTCACCCGAAATTATGGTACTTTTGTTTTTAGTGAACAAAAAAAATAAAAAAATGTTACCTTAATACGAGACACCATATTTCTGTAGCTAAAAAGTATGCCCATATTTCTTCTTGTAAAATGTTTTCGAGTAAGATGATTTCAACTTTTGCGTAAAACATGTCATGTGTTATAACGGCAGCTCCGATATGTACAACTAAATCATCAAAATTATTTTCTGGCCAAAAAAATTCCTTAAAACCTAAAACAAAAATAAATAAATAAAATTAATTGAAGAATGTTTTCTAATGGTGAAATAGTTTCTAAATTCATTAGAGCCGTAATAACTGTCCCTGAGAGTGCTAAAAAAAACGCAGCAAAAATATTTCCACAGGAGCTAGCAAAAATTATTGAAGATGGGAACTATTGTGCCGATCAAGTATTTAACGCTGATGAAACAAGACTGTATTGAAAAAAATGCCTAATCGTACTTACATTGCAAAGGATGAACAAACTACAAGTAGACTTAAAGCAAGTAAAGATCAAGTAACATTAACAGTTAACACTCTTGATAAATAAATCTCTTAGACCACGTGCTTTAAAAGGCAAAGACTTAAAACAACTGCCAGTGCATTAATGGCTAAGAAGAAAGCCTGGGTGACAACAGCTATGTTTACAGAATGGTTCAATAATTGCAAAGAATATAGACGCTTAATATTCTTTGATAATTGCTTCATGTCAGGAGTAGAAGCACTCAGAATATCGTAAGCTACATAAAAAAATACTAGCATCATCATCGCAAAGTTTAATTTCTGATTACATTGTCAGAAAAGGAAAAGTTACACAGAACGAGAATGAAGATGTGAAAATCCATCGCCTTTACCGCAAATATATATTGCAGAAACAGTTTCTTCTGACGATGAAGATGATTTTAAGCCACTTGCTTTAAATTTACTTACATGGTCTACAGCACTCGAATACTAATCTAATCACAATATCTAATTCGAGTTTCGGACTATTTTCAACCATAACAACACCTTCTAAACAGACATTTAGGACATTAAGAAGTCCAAAAGGGTATTTTTTTAATAAAGATGTATTATTCTGGAATCCCTAAAAACAAAATTAAACAGTATATACTTTATATAAATACACAAATTTGACATTTTAATTTCAGTTTCAAAACACCTTTTGTCATCTACAGTAAAGTAGAGTTTATTTATTTACTTAACTAATTAACAAATACAAACATTGTTTGTAGCAAGTCAAAAAAAAACATAGGGTAAGGGGGGTATGTTGTTATTTTTTCTTTTAATTATCATTGAGTCCGTTCAATTATTTTTACTTAGGGAAAGAATGGATTTTCAATGTTAACAGGTATTTATTTAGCACTGTTCTTACATGAACAAACTGAAGATTTTACTTTTGTATTATAATTAATAATTTCACTCACACACCATGATGATTTGCTAGGGGTGATGTGCGTTGAGGGTTAAACTTCCATAAAATTCCATAAATAAGTAAATAAATAAAGAAATTTCGTTAATTTTGATTCCAAAATATTTGTATAAAATAAAATAAATTAAATAAAACATTTAATGTTCAAACATGTTTTATTTTAAATACGAATTAGTCAATCCTTAAAAATACAAAGATATGTCGCTGACCACTTCCTCTGGTGGCAGTTTGGCTTCACTTTTAGCGATACGGTTACGCGTCCTCTCTCTTTCCTTGTCTAAGAACAAGACTTAGATAAAAAAAAAAATAAAGCGTTATAACCTCTTAAAAACTAATAAAACGACCTACAGGGTAGGCAACATATACAACACATTGCAACACAGGTTGCATACACGTAGGAGATTTGTTACAATAATATATAAAAATGGAATATAAATCGTAACTTAAGTATATCACAAACAAAAACATATATTAAACAGAAAAAGATTTATGACAAAGTTATGGTAAGCAGTTTGGTAAATGTTCTGCAATGAGTCATCTTCTGAGCAGTAAAAATAATGTTTTAGAAGATATTTTTTTTATAACTTTTTCGAAACTATTACATCTTATCTGTTTAATACTTTTTGGTAAAATATTGTAATAGTTATAATTAAGGCAATTTTTATATGAAATACCTAATTTACAGCGATTTTTTCGTAGGTAGTGACAGTTTCGCGTATTGTGAACGTAGACATCAGACTGCTTTATTAACCCTAGAACACTAACCATTCGTAAAATATACGAACGCCGATTGTTTTCTTAAGAATTAAGAATCTTCGTTATTCAGTCTGCCTAGTACATTCACGGTGTAGTTGTCTTTTTTTGTGCAGTCGTTACCCGCAAGATCTCAGTTGCTTCGTAAATTTTACGAAAGGTTAGTGTTAACGTAAGTTTTTTTATTTTGGTATTATTATTTTCTTTTGTCATTTACAGGCAATTTAATTAAAAAATGGCTAGAAAATTTGAAGATAAAAGGCCCTTAACCCAATTAGAATTGGAATTGGAAGCCGAAAAAATATTGATGGGTGAATTTGATGATGAGAGTCTACAATCAAATGAAGAAACTTGTAGTTATTCAGAAAGTGAAGACAGAGTACAAAAATTTCAGCCCGTCTGAATCTGAGTACGAGCCAGAATTTTCTGGTGACGAAAGCAGCGATTTTGACCATAGCAGTCTAAAACGAAAAAGTCTAATAACTGCTCTACCTCTGTTTCTATGCCTAGTAGTTCATGTAGAGTTCAATATGAGATTTCTTCTGTGGAAACCGACATTCAACAAGAACATTCATTTCAAACAAATTATAACTCAGCCTCATCAAAACGAAAAAGGTAATCAAGAAGTGTGTTTTCAACAAGTGGAAGAGCGAGAAACCGAAGACATTGTGGACGAATCTGATCCTCATACTTCCAATTTGACTACAAGTCTCAAAGGCAAAAAATGGTCATCGCTGGTGTACTGTATCTAATCTTCGGAAAGTACCACCAAAAGGGAATATTTTGCATATTGTTCAAGGGCCATCTGGACAGGCAAAAGATGCTAATACACCATTAGATGTATTTCAGTGTTTGATGAATGATTCTATGTACGAAAAAATTATGTTGCACACCAATACTCAAATTAGCCTAAAATCTAAAAATTTTAAAATTGCTAAAACATACTAATTCTCTTCGTAACAAGGGATGAATTAAATGCTCTTGTTGGACTACTTATATTTTCTGGAGCACAAAAAAATAATCATCTTCACAGTAGAGAGATGTTTGATTCCAAAATGTCTGGCTCCGTTTATAGAGCAACAATGAGCTGCGAAAGATTTGATTTTCTTTTACATCATCTTAAGTTCGATAATAAAACCTCAAGAACTGAAAGAAGAAATTTAGATAGGTTTGCCCCTATTCGAGAAATATGGGTATGAATTTATTTTTAATTGTAAAGAGTCTTATCGACCAGGTAGCTATATAACTATTGACGAGCAGTTATTAGCTTTTAGGGCCGGTGCCCTTCAGGATGTATATCCCGAATAAGCCGGCCAAGTACGGAATTAAAATTGTGATGACTTGCGACGCGGGTACCAAGTACATGTTGAACGCAGACCTTATCTCGGCAAACATACGCACACAAATGGGGAATCTCTAGGAGAATACTATGTTAAAAAGTTGACATGAAACTATTTACGGAAGTTACCGAAACGTCACACTGGACAATTGGTTCACTTCAGTGAACCTTGCTGATACTCTTTTGAAGCCTCCTTACAACCTTACAATTATTGGTACTTTGCGACAAAATAAACGAGAGATACCTCCTGAAATGATTAATCTTAAAAACAGAGAAATCGGAAATGCAAAATTTTGCTTTGGCCGAGAGAAGACGTTAGTGTCCTATAAATCCAAAAGAACAAAACCGTTTAGTATTGTCAACAATGCACGAAGGCTCAGTTGTTTGTCCAACTACTAAAAAATCCGAAATAATATTGCATTATAACCAAACAAAGGGTGGTGTGGACACTTTTGACCAAATGTGTGGCCATCGAAGTTGCTCCCGAAAAACTCGAAGATGGCGCTGTGTATATTCTATGGTATGATCAACATAACGTGTATAAACTCTTGGATTATATATAATCATAATTTATCAAGAAATAATCAGGAGCCAATAACATAAAGGTTTTTATGTTAAATCTCCATCAAAACTCACAAGATTATGGCTTGAAAGCGTTTTGCGATGCCGACTTTGCAACGCTCGGTGAAGCTTCTGATTAGTGATTTAATTAAAATTCCTTTGGAAGTTACTGAGGACAATCAACCTTCTAACAAACGTACTACATGTTACATCTGTCCCTCCAAAAAAACAAGAATGACGTCACTTCATTGCAATCACTGCAAACGAGCATTTTGCGCAGAACACGTGCTCGTTGTTGCGTTACCTGTAACGTAGATGCATAAATTTTGAAATTTTTTTGTACAATTTAGATATAAAAATGTTCCTTTGTTCCTTTAAAAAATTAATCAAAATATCATCTTAATTTTTTGGAGTTGAAAAAAAAAATCGTAAATATCACGAATGGTTAGTGTCTACGGGAGTGGAAATTAAGGTTAGTGTTCTAGGGTTAAATGGGCACGTTTTTTGTGAATTTCAATTAGAACTTGAAATATCAACGAAGTAATCAGCGGCATAATTTTGCATAACCTCTGTTAAAATCCTTTATTTCTTTATTAATATATTTATTCCTTAACCTCCAGTTTTGTTTTTACTATTTTTTCTTCAAAAAGTACTTGGCGCCCTCTGTTGCAGTTTAGAAAAGACATGATTGAGGAATACATTGTATGTTTGTAAAATGATATTACCTAAATAACTTTAGAGAACAATTACTGTTTTTTACCTGCAAAAATTGTTCTTCTTGCATAAATTTCCAAACGAATGGTTTCATATGAGCAAATATGCTGTCATCTATTAATTGGATAATTTCAAAGGGATACTCCAACATTGAAAATCTATGCGAAGTAAAACTAAAAATTTTAAAATTATATAATAATACTCCATAAACGCCTGGGTGCTATTTTTCAAGTAGAATATTTGGGGGGAGCCAATAGGGGCTTACCATCTTGTGGTACTTTCTGCCAGGAATTTTCCCACTTTCAGCGTAAAAACAATTCTTATTACCTGTATATAGAGCAGCAGAATTCCATGATCATGTCGACATTTTTTTCTTTATAATCCCAAAATATATCTAATAATTTTAAAATCACTTTGATCAAAAATCCAGTTAACTTGATGATTTGCTGTGTCGAAGGGTCTATTGTTTCCTAAAAGAAATTAGCAGCGTAAAGGAACTCGTTTTGGAATTGTGCAGAAAATTTGTGAAAACAAACAGAAATAGGACATTGCCCAGCGTATGATATATCATGTCAAAAAAGGTAGTTACAACGAAAAAAATGTAAATTTTGCATATTGCTATTAAAAACGACTTCTCTTTATTTCATTCTAAAGTTTTGATTTCGTTTTTATAAAAATTTAATTTTGGGCATTAATGGGTCTGGTGGAGCCACCAATTTTAGTCTTTGGTTTTTGGATTTCGCTCCAAAATTGTAGATCAATTAGATGTATGGTAATATTAAGTTTTGTAAAACCAATACTGATAAACCAATAGTATATTATTGATGTAAGACATGAGATGACCATTTTCTTAACCCTTTGTATTTGAATTATATTTTATTTTTGTGTCTACCAATACTTACAGGGTCATTTAAGGAAGATAAATTATCATAAATGATTGAAGCTAGACAACCTATGGGTTTCGTCAGGTCCAATTGATCTTTCAATATATCCAGAAATTTCTGAGCAATTCCTATATATCCTTTCCAATTTGTTGCTAGTAGCTTTACGTTAAGGTAAAAACAAATTCTGGCTAATTGTGCATAAATTGTCTAAAACTATAAAATAAAAATATTATTTTCAATGTTTATTCTACAAATAACCAAACATAAAATCAATCACGGTATTTTACAATCATAGATTACTAATGAAAAATTGGAATAAGATGGAATTACATATATTGTAGAATGCTTTAAATGTGGCGACATTCGATGTCGCACTGTTGTTTCCTGTAATTTAATTCTTTTGAAAAGTGATGTGGCTTCCGTGGAACCATATGGTTGAAAATAGGGAGTACAATAACAACACTGACTTTTTAGAAAGTGCCAGTACAGAAGATTTGAATGCATTTTAATGTTGAAACAACAAAAATATGAACAGATAATTCATATTTCTTGACAAACCGCGTATATGATTGAAAAAATTTAATATCTGATGATTGTATTCTGGTTTTGAGATCATTTTCAGAACTTTCTATGAAGAATAATTGTTTTTTCATAAAACTAAGAATAAAATAGTTTTCCATATGGTGCAGACTCAATTGTAAAATATCCAAATATTAAATTGATTTTATAGTATATTATAAAAACAACTAAAAATAATAACTAACAACAGAGTGGGAGAAACAATGGGAATTAGGGAAACAATCACAGAAGACATCAAAATTAAGCAGCTGGTATGGTATGAATGAAATAAGATGAAGGCAAAAAATTGTTAAAGAAGTACAAGAACAGGTATGGAGTGAAATAGTCTTGGAGGAGGAAATGAAATAACCTATCAAGGTGCAGTTGGTAACTGGAAAATGCCGAGAAATGTTATGATACATATAGGAGATACCACATTCATGTAAAACCTAAATGTATATTATATAAATAAATAAACAACAATAAAAATTACCTTGTAACAAATCTTTTTTTCTGTATCATCTTCTAATGCTTCAGAAACTACAATAGTGGTATCAAAAATCTGAAGGTACATAGAATGAACTTCTTGCATTACTTTAAATATTTCTAATAAATCCTCATTAAAATTTACTTTATATGTTTCAGAACTAAAATATAATCAAAAAATTTATGGATTGTGAAGAATTTTTATTCTGTTTTTTTGTTGTGTTATAATCAGTTAGCCGTTTTATATACTCCAAAAACCTCCTATGTCAATATTTACTTATACAAGACAATACAGTTTCAGGTAATTCGGTCTTTGAAGCATGTAGAATGGATAACTAATTATAATGCAACAAAAAAGAAAATGAAAGGGAAAAAGAGAATACAAACACTACTGATTCTTCTTTATATCATTTATTTATAAGAATTTTACCTGTTTCTGCAATGATCATATGTTGATGATATTATCTGAATTGATGTTATAGCTGTATATTTAATATCTACTAAACAAATTTTATCTTTTGCAGCAAAAAAATCCAAAACTTCTTTTAATATATGAATAAATTCCAAGAGTAACTGAAAATTAAATCATAGTATACATAAATTATATATTTCTGATATATAAAATAAATTAGCCCCTTAGAGAGCTCTGAGACCTTGTCATTGTGGAGGGACACTTTGCAACATAGGTTGCTGTATATTCTAGAGCGGACATCGGCTCAGACCACAATCTTCTAATAAGACTTAATTTTGGGAAAAACTAATAAGATCATAAGACTAATAAGACATAATTATGTTAAATTATAAACTTCTATTTGTATCTCATAATTTGCTAATCTCCAGAAAGTACTTACCCCTAAATTTTGCTTTAATATATTTAGAACAAAGTCATCTTCACATGTATCAGATAATAAAAAATTATCATCAATTGCCTAAAATTAAATTAAACTGGTTTATACAATAATTTATTATAATAGATTGTTACAAAGTTTAAGTAAACTTTACTAGATATTCACCTTTTGTAAAGTGTTTTTTATTGCTGGCATGATCCATTGGAATAATTTTTCATCCACTTCAGTGACATGGAAACTTGATAAGTACCTAAGGCATGTTTTAATATGTTCTAAAATTTTCGAGCTTTCAGTTTCAGCTTCTAGTGAACTGTATTGAATTTGTTAAGGAAAATAATAAAAAATAGTAAATAACAAATTAAAGATAAAGTGGAAAATTAAAGGGATTAATTTGTAAATAAAAATGAACGACATTCATACAAAATGATCAAATAACAGTCGATGAGTGAATGGATAAAAACAGTAAAATGACTTTAATACAAATTTTTATACCTTAACAATAAAATTGATTTTCGGCAATAGTTGTACATTGGCGATAGTGAAAATTGTTCAGTTATCATAATTCATTTACTTAATTTTAACAATAGATATTTCATAAACTTATAAAAACAATTAAAGAACAATTCGTGTCTTGGAATAAACTTTTCAAAAGGATATTATTACTGCAGTGATATTTTCATCTCTTTCCCTGAGTATATCTGCTGAAGTATCATTCTGGTCATCCATTTAAATGAATTAAGTAAAAGAAAATAATATATTATTTTTATGTTATAAAGATATTTAGGATTATAAAACTTGTTTATAAACTTAGAAACTTTTAAATATGAAATGATATGACATATAACAATTAATGTCAACGTCAAAATCATTTGATTGTCCACAGACACAAAATATCTTAAAATCACAGTATATTTAGGCCACAGAATACGATGTTTCGTAATCATTCAAAGTTGAAGTTTTTTTTCTTGAGTCGTCCTGCGAATCATTGTCTGTTTCAATTAAACATATCTATGCCTTTTCTTTCTTTGGTTCCCTTGGTCTAATTCTTAAGTTAGATAATCCAAATATGAGAAAAGCATAGAAAAGTGCATTTTTAATACAGCTTCTGTCGACAACTGAGGTCAAATAAACAAATAATAAAAGCAGAAGAAATAATGAGGTTATGAATTTTAATTTTATCAAATTGACAGTAGTGTCAACAGTAACAGTAGTATAAACAAATTAGTTTATAGAAGTTTTTAATTGTGTTAAGTTTGAATTAAAATTTTAAAAGTGTGTCATGGTAGATTTAGGGGGAGGACATGATGGACCCATTGAACATGGTTTTTCTAATTCCGTGTTTATTATTCCTGGAATAGTATTTGTTTCACTAAGTGGTAAGTAGAAAGTTTTATTGTTTTACAAATAAACCAATATTAAGCTGCATTTTTACTGTTTTAAAATTATTAATTAAGTATTTGTAAAGTTTTAAATTTCGAATAAAATTAAAAGAACATAGTTAATGTCTTTATTACTTAATTAATTTATTATGGGATCCATGCTAGTGTTGTTTCTGAACAACACTTTAAAAATTGAAAGTTTACTAAAGTGGGTCCTCGTTTTTGGGAAGAAGCTGTTAGGAAAAGAGAATATATTTACTGTCATACTTGTGATCCAGTTGTTTGTGTTGCAAAATACATCTGTGTTTGTTAAACATTTTAAAGCTCACAGGAAGTTGTAGAAAATATGGCTATGGTGATAAAGACATAGCTTAGACTTTTTGGATGCTGTAAGATGCTGGTAGCTATTAGTCACAAAAGCAGTTAAAACTTCTGAATAAACTGTTAGTGTATAATACATAACATAATACACTATGCTTCACAAAAAAGAGACCACCTAAAATTTTTGCCATTTTTTAATTTTTACGAATCATACCACAGAGTGAAGTGATCATTAGATGTTTGTTTAATGTTTAAGAATATGTTCTAAAGCAGTATGCAATCATTTTTTATATAACAAAAATAATTTCTTAAAATAAAAAAAATTAACACTGTACATTTTTTCTGTTTTCTTTATAAAATTACAATTAAGTCGTGATTATTAATACTGTGTATTACCACCTCTATTGTGAGTTACATTCCTCAATTGATTTGGCATTGCATTGATCAAATTCTGGATGTTGTTTTAAGGAAAAGCTTTCCATTCTTCCATGAGCGCCAACTGAAGATGCTTATTATTTATTGGAGCAGGTTTCTTACCGTTCGTTTGAGTTGGTCCAAAACATGTTCAATCGGGTTCAAATCTGCACTTTGAGCTGGCCAGTTCCATCCACAGTAGTCATCCTAATTACGTGTGGCCGTGCGATATCTTGCATAAAAATAAAGTTTTTCGCTGGCTGTCGTGATTCTTCTTGGTCCTGATCCTGGTCGTCGTTCGTGAGATCCAGTCCAGTTACCAGAGATGAATCGTTGGTAAATTTTTTGGACCATACAATGACTGACTCCAAGCTGTCTGGCCACTTCTCTTTGACTCATTCCATTACCAATCAAAGTAACAATTTGAACAGATCTAGCAAATTTCTCAGCTATAGTTTTTAATTTAAAAATTGCACAAGTTTACTCTTCGATCAACTGCACGCTAGTGAAAGGTTTTTAAAAAACAAAGTAGCCATATTCCAATAAAATAAGGTACAAACAACACATGCATTATGTGAAGTCGTGAAACTGATATCAATTCTGCAAACTTATTACACTTAATTGACCTATCGGTACCATTTGTCAGTGCCTAAAAAACGCTAAAAGTGTTTCTGTATTGTGGGAATTTAGTTACAATAGAATAAATTGTATAAACTTCAAAGTTATTGAACAATTCTTACAAAATCTAGGTGGAATCTTTTTTGTGACACGCAGTGTAGAAGAAATGCATCCTTCAGATCTAGATTCATTATATAGTATATATACAACATTCATTCAACTAACTGCATTTTTCCTAAGACATATCTATTTTTTTGCCTTACCTAACTTAACCTATTTAGCCCAACAATTTCCTAACTGTTCATTCACTCAATTTCCTAACCTTCCCATTGAAAACACTATTGGGTGACCATTCAAAAAGGATTGAACAGGAACACAGGCTTCACGCTAAGGTGCCCTTCATAGCAACTTTTTTTTTTTAACACAAACAATACAGGCTACAGTTAAAGGTAAATGACATAAAAGGAAAGATAATGGGAAATACAACAACTAACTTCCTACCATTTCGGATTCACACAAACAAGACATATCTATCTTAAGGAAGATTTAAAAAAAGTATCTTCCCAGATGTTGGTATATATTCATTGATGCATCAAAGAGCAACAAGAAAGTAGGTTACATTTGATTCACATAATCACTTTACAAAATCTTTTAAATCAAATGAAAATATTACAATTTATACTGCAGAATTAACTATCATATTAAGATTGGAATTTTGCAGACTTTACAGCACATGTTATAGAGCTGCAAGATCCATTTTTTGGTTTATATCCAAGGTGCTTTATTTGTTCAATGCATATATCATCCACACTTGGAGCTTTCCTGTTTGTAGCCTGTTCTTACTATAGTAGAGTTCTTTTAGTGTAAATGAGTTCCTAGGTTGTTTGTCTTCTTCTAGTGTTTGGGATATATTATGCAGATTAAGCGAAAATAAAAAGGAGCATACACATTTAATTCATTGTATCTGAACTATGTTTGAAACAGTCAACCAAAAAAAGTTTGACATATTAACACCATACATATTAGCAATGTTAAGTTCAACATGTTGAAAATATTGCTCAACTGTCTCTGTCCTTTTGCGAGGCCAGCTGAAAGTAACTGAATTTTTCATTTGTCAAGCTGAGCTTGGCTGCTTCAAATTGAATGTAGCCGTTCACTCTCAGTTCAGCCTATCAGTTCAGAATCATCTGTTTTAGTTAGCATCCATGCTTCTGATCCATATGTGAGAACAGGGACTATCAGTGTTCTATACAGCCTTATACGAGTTTTTTGAGACAGAAGTTTGTTAGCTAAGTACTTTGATAGACCATGATAACACCTGTTTGCAATTATTATTCGCCTTTTTATTTCCTCAAATATGTTATTATTGTGGTTCACTGATGCCCCTAGATATATGAATTCTTTGACTGCTTCAAAGTTTTGGTCATTGATGATTAAATTTGCGCCAACATTAGCTCTTGTGTTTGTGTTAGTCGCCATGAATTTGGTTTTATTTTGATTTATATGTAACCCCATTTGTTCTGCTGCTGCTACTAGCTCGGTTAGGATTTCCGCAGTTCTCGCCCTGGTTCTTGTTATAATGTCCACGTCGCCGTCGTCTGCATATGCTAGAATTTGGACTGATCTATTAAATATTGTTCCCTGCTATCTAAATTAGCGTCTCGTACAACTTTTTCTAAGGCGACATTAAAAAGCTGACACGCCAGCGCATCTCCTGCCTTAACCCCCTATGTATTTCACATGGGGTTGACGAGTCGTTTTGAATTTTTACTGTTGATAGCATCTTCCCCATTGTCACTTTTATCAAACATATGAGTTTTTTTGGAATTTCTGACTCATTCATAGCGTTGTAAAGACTTAAGACACCGTCATATGCTATGTTAAACTCTTGCGCTTTTTCGAGGATCTGTCGTAGTGTAAAGATCTGGTTAATGGTTGAACGTCCACGCCTGAATCCTGCTGATATTCTCCTAGAAACATTTCAGTATAAGGCTTTAATCTCTCGTTCAAAATGTTTGACAATCTATGTATACTATCTACATCTATGTATTAGCATATTTTCTGCATATAATGCTTCTCTGGTTCTTTGAGCATTTCTAAATCCGAACTGAGTTTGTCCAATGTCTTGTTCTAACTTTTTATATATTCGATGAATAATCTTTAGGCACATTAGAGACTGATGGTGATCAGTTTTTATTTGCTTAATTGTGTGTTTTACTTCACTTTTTGTTATTTCTGGTCGAGTCTCTTGAACGAAATATTCGTTATCTATTTTGTCTCGTTTGTCGTTAAACAGCTGTTCTATATAGTTTGCCCATACCATCAATTTGTTTTCTGTATCCATTACTGTGTCTCCCTTTTCATCAACTAGTATATTTTGTTTTTATTCTGGTCTTCTAGTTAATTCTTCAAGTTGTCATGTTTATTTTGTAGCATTTCTGTTTCATTACATTTTTCTTTTAACAAATTTTCATTTCTTTTGTGTTTGCTGGTACAATGATTTATTTTTGTCCTTATATACTCTTCTTTTGTTCATCAAGTTTACTATTTCGTCCGTCATCTAATCTTTTTTCTTTGGTTTTGTGTAGATACTTTTTTGAATGTTCTATTAAGTCAGCGTTTTTTTCCCAGTTTTTGTTGATGTTTTCTTCATTGCATTCAGCTTCAATCTGTTTGGTGTTTAGACATTCATTTATTTTTTCTTTGATATTTTCTCTGATTTCTGGATCCCTTAGTTCATTTATATCAGTTCTGTTGCGGTCTTCTCTATTCTTTTCATTTTAATTTTAATGTATGTACTACTAAGGGATTATGGTTAGTTGCTATAT